AGCTTTCTAACTTTACTTACTGTTTATCAAGACCTGAATATAATGTTAAGATTTATTTTGTTGATTCTGAGCATTACCTTTGCAACAGAAGTACATCACCACTGCCCGCAACAATTATTATTCATCTTTCCCAGTGCCTGTAGGTCCGTTGAAGTTACGTGATGAAAATATGTTTGCTGGACTACGTCATATATGACATGCCGCTTAAGTGTCTGTCTCCGCATTATTGACGAATCTAGGCGCCTCTTGTAAACTTTCTGCTGGCAGGTTTTTAAAATTTTATTTTGTTATTTTTAAAACTGGTGGCCTCAGACAAGCTTAATACGCCTCTGCTCACCACTGGATAGCGTTGTTACGCGCGGCGCCTGGGCTGACGGGGGAGAGAGGCGTTCTTTGTTCATCAAACAAGTCACCAAAGGGCTGCCAGCCTGCTGTCCGCCGTGTTTCGTCCATCTTAGCCGGAAAGTGAGGTGGCATTCCGACACCATAAGACGTTCGACGAGACGACCACAATGGTTTCTTGGCGTCACAGGTCCAATGTGATGACCACGCCCCAATCAAAGACGTTGACTTGAGCGAGTGTGAGCGGCACCGTCAGAAATGGTGTGTGTGTCCCGTGATTCAACAGCACATTCTGGACCCATTACCTGATTTAGTCAAAACGCACACTTTATAATGAGCCACCCAGCTCATTCGCAAGAGATCTCTCACCCTGTCTGTACAGAACGTAATAAATCCTCTGTTAAGTTTGCCATCCTACTCCTGAGTGCACATGCGTTTTCTTTTCTGTCTCTCTACACCCCCCTTCTTGCCCCTATTTCTCCACCCCCAGAGCTGGGCAGCAAACCGGATGCCAAGATCTGGTTGATCCCCAGCCTTCCTTTCTCTCTCTTGCCATCTTACTGCCTTGGCATCTTCATCCCGGATATCTTATGCCTGAAAAGGCCGGTACCAACGAAGGTTAAAGAATAAAACAGATGGTGAATATTTTCTGCAGCATGTTGAGACGCTGCATATGAGTGGTCATCCTCGAAAATCATCAACTTTAACACCACGGACAGGTGATGATATACCCTGAGTAGGTTCGAGCATGTATTATGCCTCGACGCTTTTATTCTCCATTAAACTTCTCCCTTTCGATTTCATCCTTCGGGGCTTTGTGTAGTCCTTCACCTAACGCACTGCATTCGTGCTGCACTGCTACTACTTCATTTCTTCTGTATATACGTCCTGTTTCGGGCACGGTCACAGGCTGCCATCTTGGACTGATAATGACGCCGTTTTGCCTCCATATAAATATTCGAATAGTGCTACGGTGAACTCGCATGCATCAACACGCTGGGCCAGTACATTCAACGTCGTATGACCATAATCATTGCTAATTACGACAATTTAAACCCAGCAAAAATTGCTTTTAAGCCTAAGATGGCAGCGTCTATGTTTTACTGTAACTGTTACATTTATTTTTGTCAATTTGTCCAATATATCATTTCATGCAGCGGCCGCAGAACTTGTGCAGCTTTTCATAGTGGTACTCTCGGTCTCTGAAGCTGGATGAAGATAACTAAGAAGCCTGGTTTATACTGGCTACATAAAATGTGAAACAAAGCTCTAAATTAAGATGAAAAAGAAAAAGACAAATCTGTGAAAAGTCAGTATTGGCGCATAAATGGCGCGCTGATTGCGCCGATGAGAATCATCGGCGGCGGCGGCGGCGGCGCGCCGATCAGTTCGCGTCGGCGGTGGCGGCGCGGTGAAAACTCTCGGCGGCGGCGCGCCGACCAGTCGGCGCACACCTCTAGGCGCAACATCGTCAAGCGCTCAATGTCTGTATATTAACTCTATTGTCTTTTAACTGTACGCCTCCGGAAATTCAGAAAACCTGGGCATCTGTGCCTGCTAACCTTTCTTAAAACTATCTTTGCCTCATGCCAGCGCGGCTCTGCTAAAGTAAGGCAGAAGCTCCAACTTAAATAATACTACTGCAGCGGCTGTGCTTCAGCGTTTCGGATGATGTTGAACATAATTTGGCTAAATCTAGCACACACACAAGTGCACCACGAACTTGTGAACACAACACTGTTACAAATGCAGCGACGGCCGGCGGAGCCGGCGCGCAGGAATCCTACGTAACTTTTGTTTCTGTTAATTCTCTCAGGTACTTTACTCAGGTGTTGTGTGATCATGCGGGTCCAGCTGCCGCCGCAGCAACTGTAGAGCAGAAGTTCTGCGCTAACAACCGGTTTCTTGTTTTGTGCAGTACGTCCGGTGCAGCAGCATGACGACGCTCATTCCAAAGGTATCGAAGTTGACGTCTCGCATTATTCGAGTTCTAGGATGCAACCCAGGCCCGATGACTCTGCAGGGAACTAATACATATATCATTGGGACTGGAAAGCAGCGCATATTGCTCGATACCGGAGAGCCAAATGTCCCTGAGTATATCGAGACCCTCAAAAGCGTTTTGCGAGAACAAGGCATATCGCTACAGCAAATAATCGTTAGCCACTGGCATTTGGATCACGTTGGTGGTGTGGACGAAATACGGCGACAAGTTCAGCCAGGGTGTACCGTGAAGAAGTACGCGTTTCGTGATGACAAGGCGGAGCATTCTTTTCAGTACCTAAAGGACGGAGAGTGGATCCGTACTGAAGGAGCGTCTCTCAAGGTAATCGCCACCCCAGGCCACACGCAGGACCACATAGTACTGTATTTGGACGAAGAAGACGCCTTGTTCAGTGGAGACTGTATATTGGGTGAAGGGTCGGCGGTGTTCGAAGACTTCCATTCCTATATGGGCTCTTTAAACGCCATTCTAGCGATCAAACCGTCTATTATTTATCCGGGACACGGACCTGTGATTACAGACCCGGAGAAGAAGATAAAGGAATACATTGAGCACCGGCTTCAAAGAGAAAGACAGATTCTCGACTGTCTGCCAGAAGCGGACGCTGGATACAAATCAATCTCGGGCATAGTCGAAGAGATTTACAAGGAGACACCTGCTCATCTTCACGCAGCAGCTGCACGGAACGTGGAACATCACCTGAACAAGTTAATTAAAGACGGGAAAGTTGTGAAAAGGGCCACCGACAACAGTTATGGACGGGTGTGACTAAAGTATGTAATGGGAAGAAGCAGTGTAATATACTATGATGTACAAGCGAGGTTTGGTTACGTTATGAAAAAGGGCTTCTGTTTTTTTGCATAAAAATAAAATTTTACGTGTTTTTGTTACCACTGCGAATGTCTGCATGCGTTATGTCAATGTTGGACATATTTTTTGAGGGTTGCTGTTTGTTTTTCTCATTGCGATGATAGGCTGAAATATGTGCTTGTTAATAAGAACTACGCGATCGTCGACCAATTAGAAAAAAAAATTGTGGCGTCTAGAAATTTGCCAGTAGACAGCGCACATACTTTTTCGAAGTGCCTTGGAGCAAAGAGTATGTAGCGTACATAGAAACAAATCCTTATTTCACTGGCTGCAATCAGTCTGACGGGCCAAAAAGAAAAAAAAAAAAAAAACATTAGAAAAGAACCGGCGGCGAAGTGTCAAGGGCTCTGTAAGAGAAGACACCTTGACATGCTGCAGCTTTTGTATTTATGGACACGGTGCTCTATTTTTGGCGCCTCTCTCTGAAGCAGACTCACGTTGGCAGCGAAATCGAAACCGCCTCGTAGGTCTCTCGCTTTTCGGACCCACCCATCCACACACACACACACACACACACACGGGGGGAATAGGTGGGGTGCAGCGTTTCCGGTTCCGCCAAAAACGGCACCAAGACATTTGAGAGCCTAGCTTCCGTTCAGGCCGTTTAGCAAAGACTTTTTATGTCTGACGACGTAGAGTTTGGTGCTTCCTTCGCTGCGCTCAGTCTTAGTCGTTGTGTGATGTCTCGCAAACGCCCTTTCGCGGCTGGCTGCATGCACATTGTCTATATTTACTTTCTTTCGATTGACAGAGCCAAGTTATTGTCGGCAGAAGGCGGACAGCAAGCAAGGAAGCTTGTCACGCTTACCTTGTTAGTTCTGGCCAAGTTTGAAAGAATGATGTGTTACAACATTATCTGCGGATTGTGCGCTCAGTGATGAGTTTTCTGTGACCTTATTGGTGAGCATCGAAGCTATGAATCATCGTTGAACCGGGCCGGCTTCCGCTTGCCCAGTTTGGAAGAGAAACTCTCGCCTTGTATCCGAGCTCATCTGGCGGTCACGTTAAATTCTTGCTAACATTTAGCTAGCGTTTCATGCGGCTTAATGAGTTAGCTATTATACTTTGAGGGTGAGCGGTACGATAACAATAGGGCCAACTTCGGCAACCGTTAGCGGAGAGTTTTTATTTTATTCTGGGGCCAGGAGCTCTCCTCTCTGTCCCTCTTGACACATAGCATGCAATGCCTCAGGACTTGTGCGACAGTGCAAAAAAGTGCCAGTATCATATCAATCTGTTAAACGGGGCACAGTAACAATGTAACTTATCATGGACCCATCCACGAAATACCCATTCCCTAAGCCAGTTCCACAGCTGCAGAAATAATTTCAAGAGCAGGAAAGCTAGTGTGTGCCACTGCAAGAAATCGGGTGGCATAATGGAATTGCGAAGTTTATTAAAGTCAGGCTGCTCACTGATTAGCAATCACTGGAAGAAGCCTTTGTTAAACTGACTCAAGTATAAACACTTCTCATTCAAAGGCATTTCAAAACTTCATTATGACAAATTAGTAGTCGCAGAATATTTTTAAATTCATTCATCCAAAATACAAAAGTGCAATAAAATTCTGCCCTTGAAAATGCATGTTGCTAACTATATCAACCCTCAAAGGGTTAAGAAATGGTATTGCTCCACCATTGCTAGGAGTTTAGTGTATGTGAGTATCTCCACAATTTCAGTTATTAATGTGGGCGTTAAGGGAAAAGTTCAGGTGTTGACATGCCACCTTTGAATTTATTTATTGATCGCTCTAGATTCACTACCAAATGCATCAAATTTTCAGGAAGCACATTTGCCACGCTGCCGCGCACTCAGCGTGGCATGCCTCTGGTCCTTGGTGGAGATCCAAAGGGGAAAAACTTTCTGTACACAAATGGAAACAGTGTGATCATAAGGGATATTGCTGTGAGTATTAGTACTGTTCACATGCGTTATACCCGTGTCACAAGAGCTGTTTTGAAAGGACATCAAGTCGATGGCCATCAAAACGGCGGTGCACCATAGACTGAAGAGACTTATCATGCTGCTATGCGGCTGCTTTTAACGGCCGTTGAGTGGTTTAGGTGTTCCTTGCAAAAGTTGTGTGGCACTGCAAATCTTTATTTTTGTTTTCATGTAATCATAAGTGAGACAATATAGATACACTTAAAAGTACACCCGTGTCTGCTATTTTTATTAAACATTTCAATAAATTGCTTAAATATAATTACGAATGCATGTTTTGTGCAAGTTGTTGAGCGGTGAAACTTTAGCGATGTGGTCACGGCTTGTCAGCATTTGCACGTTTGCGCTGTTTCTGCTTCCGGCTTTCATAAGCCATGAAAGTTTCAACGGAGGTGTGGGGGTGCTTCTTAGACTAGATGGACTATTGACTCGAACTATTGACTCAAGGACTCTCAAAATCGCATGTGTGGCAGCTTGTTGAGTCAATGGACCATTGGTTCAGTGTCCTTCCAAATGCCCATGTGACGTGTATTGATGTCTGCCAGTATAAACTTACCAGCGAACAAACATGTGGTGCCACTTGCTCCACGCTCCACAGAATGTCAAACTTTTTGAATATAAATTGCTAGTCAGACTTAATTTTTTTAATATGCCTACATATCTGAGGCCCACATAAAAATTATTTTACTAATAGTCTTTTCAGTGATATGGTGTCAGGTATTTTTATTCAATGTTTTCATGTAATCCCATCATCCCTAATTTCTAAGTATCAGTAAAATTCACTCCTGCACTGCCATACAATCGCGAGTGTTGTTCTTTTTATCTTACTTTATTGTTTACCTAGTTATGTTGTGGATGTTTTTCCAAAAAGAAGAATACCACAAAACACTGGATGTCAACTTCAATTTACAACCATGCTCAAGCTGCCTTTCCAGTTTCATTAGTTTTCCTATAAAGCAAGAGTTAGGAGTGCTCTTTCCTAAAAGGAGGTAAAAAAAAATTGTGTAGCTATATATTGCAGAAATAGTTCTTTAGAGCTTTTGTAGCACAGACAGGCAGAATTCACGGTGCATGTGCATTGTGTGTCTGTGTACTGTAGTGCTCCACTCATTTTCTACGAGTTGACTGTAGCACCTTGACACTACTATTTTCACTAGTAGCATTTAACTTGGCTTTCACCGCAATATATGAATACTGGTCCAAAGGCTGTTGTGCAGTGGCCATTCATCCCAAGTTTCAAGGAGTTTACAAAATGGTGCTGAAAGTGTGTAAGGTGCATTTAATATTGCTTACCGTTTCAGAACCCGTCACTCTGTGACATTTACACGGAGCATTCTCAAATGACAACTGTCGCCAAGTACTCGCCGAGTGGGTTCTACATTGCTTCTGCTGGTATGTCTATAGCTCACATTGTAGCTCAAAAGCACAACTTGTTTTCCCTGTTCACTTACATACATTACTTCCCTTTTCCCAGATCAGACTGGGAAAATCCGGATTTGGGACACAGTCCAAAAGGAACACATCTTGAAAAATGAGTTTCAACCTTTTGTTGGTATTGTCAAAGACTTGGCGTGGTCGCCAGACAGCCAGAGAATCATGGCTGTAGGCGAAGGTCGTGAAAGGTGACCTTGGGCACTTTTTTTTTTTTCATGCATGGTAGTGATTGACACATGCATTGGCTTTTGCAGGTTTGGCCATGTGTTCATGGCTGAGACGGGCACCTCAGTTGGTGAGATTGGTGGCCACAGCAAACAGATAAATTCCTGCGACTTCCGGCCCACCCGGCCCTTTCGTATTATCACTGGCAGTGAAGACAACACTGTTGGCATTTATGAGGGACCTCCTTTCAAGTACAAGCTGACGATCAGCGTAAGCACAGAATTGGTATTTTATTTCAAAGCTCAGCTGACAGACTAACCCACTATATGAAGCAGTCAGCATTGAGGGCTTTTAATATGATTTGATTTTTATTTAATTGATGCTCTATGTAGCTTTTACTGTGGCCCCGACGCGGTGGGCTAGTGACTAAGGTACTCAGCTGCTGACCCGCAGTTCATGGGATCGAATCCCGGCTGCGGCGGCTGCATTTCCGATGGAGGGGGAAATGGTGTAGGCCCGTGTGCCTAGATTTGTATGCACGTTAAAGAACCCCAGGTGGTCGAAATTTCCGGAGGCCTTCACTATGGTGTCTCTCATAATCATATGATGGTTTGGGGACGCTAAACCCCGCATATCAATCAGTCAATGTCTTACTGTGTTGGCTACAGTTATTGTAGTTGTTAAAGACAGGGTTGCCAGGTTTGGCTAATTTGCACCAATCTGGCTACTTTTTTTAGGTCGGCGCAGCATAAAAAACATTTTGGCTTCTTTTTGACTACTTTCTCTTTCTTGTTGCCTAAATTTAAGTGAAATCATCAATGTCTTTCAAAGTCACAGCCATGAGTACGCATTGTGCTGCCAAAACGGGGCGCCCCGCCGCGGTAGTCTAGTGGCTAAGGTACTCGGCTGCTGACCCGCAGGTCGCGGGATCGAATCCCGGCTATGACGGCTGCATTCTGGATGGAGGCGAAAATGCTGTAGGCCCATGTGCCTAGATTTGGATGCGCGTTAAAGAACCCCAGGTGGTCGAAATTTCCGGAGGCCTCCACTACGGTGTCTCTCATAATCATACAGTGGTTTCGGGACGTTAAACCCCACATATCAATATATCAATAAAAACGGGGCAGTCAAAGCATGCTTCCACCTCCCAAAATTTGATTTGGCACTTCTATTACGACGAACTTTAGTAAAAAAGATGGGTCCGTAACCTAAGCAAGGGTAAGGGCCACTGGTGGTGCTCATAAAGTAAACAAAAAGCTCTGTTATATTCACATAAAGTGAACATAAAAAGTAAGTATAACATCTTTATAACCTGCCACTCAAGCAGTTCTTATGCGCACAAACACATACACGCGTGCTTTTGGGCACCTGGCTGGGATTCAAGGAGAACTGTTGCATGGGGCCTCACCATGCAGCTTTCCTAACGCTGAACGCTGCCTTAAACCATCATTCGCAGTCAAGAGGAATCGAAACCACTCCGCATCCAGGGCACTCTGCTCTGTGTTCATCGGCATTAGAAATTGTGTATCTGACATTTTAAAGGGAGAACTGAAAAACCAGGACACAAAAGGCATAGGTGTTAACATAAGTGCGCACTAATAGTGGCTAATGAGTGCTTGTGTTGCCACTCCCTGTATTTTAGTTTTTTAGTTCTGCCTTTATGATGTCATACCAACTCATCCAACAATCAATACTTCTAGAGTATCCGACAAGCTGCTTGTAAATTTTTTGGAGTTAGGTATGGACCGCGACTTTGTATTCGTCATTACGTAAGTAATCGTTGCAATAGTGGCTACACTTTATGGCGTACATTTTTAGCAGCTGTAATTATGAGCATGCTCGTCATGCCGCACTCTTTTTTTTACTGTTGCAACAAATCCGTCAAGATGGCGTGAGAGAGTTATTTTTGCAAGTGCAAAGACTTTTTCACTATGCGAAAAATGATTGCTTAAGTCAATAATTCAAGCTGGAAGCTCAGTAATTCTTCTTTTGTACTGTTCATACTCCACGTATTCACATTTTTGTGGGAAGGTTTCTGCAATTAGCTATTTAAGTAAACATGTGAAAGTGATTTTTTTTGCATGTGGTGTGGTTGTTGGTTGTACCCTTGGCTCAAGTTGGCGACTTTTTAGCTAGTTCTTCCAAATTTCTGGCTGTGTTTTGTATTTTTGACCGGTAACCCTTGTTCAAGAAGATGCCTTATTGTGTCTTTTTTCTTGCAAGCCTTATAAAAGAAAAAGAAACACTTTTGATTACCGTATTTACTCGATTCTACCGTGCCCTCGATTGCAACGCACACCCATTTTTCTCGTTGGTCCGCACGATCACACCTCTCGGGAAAAGGACTCCTTTCGGGAGCATCTACCATTTAAATATGAGGTACGGGGGAAGCTTGTGCCTATCTGACGTGCAACAGAGCATTGCCGTCACTCTAGTTTTACCGTGGCCCGATGTTAGCACACGAACTTGCTTCGCCCCCTTCTTCTCGCCAGTTGTGGTGTCAGGCATGTCGAAGTAAAGAGGCGTCTGATCGGCATTCCCGATTTGCCCAAGCAGGTAGCCGTTGTTGTGCCGCAAGTTTAGGACGAACCTCTGAAAACTGTGAAGCTTTTCTTCGTACTCCTCCGCAAAACTTTTCGCATAAGCCCGTTCGCCTTCCGAGGGAAAAGCCTTTCCTCTTCATAAAGTTAGTTAGCCAGCACCTGCTCACTTTAAACTGGCTTGGCCGTAGCCCCTTTTCTAAGGCTAACTGCATAGCCTGCACTTGGAGCAGTTGTGTCGTCACGGGCCACTGTGCCGCTCACTGCTCAATCTCATACTCGCCGAGCAGCTCTTCAATTTGCGGAAACCGACCCTGCTGTGGTCCACTGAAGCCTTTACGTGAATCTTTGTTGTCGACAATAGTCTGCTTTTGTTTCCGCCAGTCCCGCACGCACATTTCGGAAACTCCGAACGACCGCGATGCGGCCCGATTTCCGTCCGTTTCGACACACGCGATGACTTTTCTTTTGAAAACGGCATCGTGGTGCACTCGTCGAGTTTTTGGAGTCGACCCTTCCATGCCGTCGATGCTAATGGACTACCAGATGACGAACCCCTCAGCACACGTACGAAGTGCCGCACATGGAGGACACATAGGCAGAAATGGCCGACGCGCCATGCCGATGCACGGGGGGGGGGGGTGGCCATTTTGGAAATGCCGATGGCAATAGAATGACCGTATTAATTTTTTTCTTACTCAATTCTAACACGCATGCGATTTATGAACTCGCTTGACTGGAAAAAAGGTGCGCGTTACATTCGAGTAATTAGGGTTATGCTGGAGACCCTGCAGGGTGCTGAAAGTGCTGTTGAAATCATTGTGCTGCGCATGGAAATTCAGCGGTTTCTATAAAGTGAATAAGAATATTATATGAAGTAGTTGACATTAAAAAAATATGCAGTGGATGAGAATAAATGGCAGTATAACACTGAATAAATTTATCAGTCATGTGCCTACATGGTGGAAAATATTCTGAAATTCGGCAGTTATTCTCTTTATATGGCAGTGGTGACACTATTGTTTTTTTTTTGACGTGTTTTTACTGCTCAAATTAGACTGATATAGCCGTGGTATTTTTATTCTTATCACATACAAAATATAGATTTACTGGAAAGGTTTACTGGTTCATAAATTCACCCACAAAGCAACAGTATGCTAGATCAGACTGGTGAAGTATCATTTCACAACTCAATTAGCTTTTTTTTTTGTCAGATGAGGGTTTATAGTCTAGAAACTAACGATGATTCTGGGTAGTTCAGCTGAATCAAGATCCCATCACAATGTAAGGTCTGGCTGTTGCCTGGGAAAGGGAGGCACCAGTAGAGCTATTCCTCCAGCCCCCCTTGACATCAGCTGGGGCACACAGTATTGTTTCCTTTTCTGTTCTGTTTTTTTGATTTTATGTTGGAACTCGGTGCTCGCTCATTACTCACTAACAATCTGTACAAATCAATGACTATTCACATCAGTTCCAAAGGTGGTTCTTTTTTTTTTTTTGTAATGGCTTCTAGAATATACAGGTGTGTGATAAGTTCAAGAAATCAGGTATCGCTAATAAAATATAAATATACTTGCAGTAATGTGATAGCTGCACCTACCGTCCTAAACTGTGACAAGAGGTGATAACTGGTATATCCTGCTACATTTTAATAAAAATATTTGAAATGGCATCAAGTGTGCACCAATGAGACTGCTGGTGCTAGAGCTGAATATTTAAGTTAATCGTGCTATTTTGAGTGGTTATGAGAGTAAACGGCAAGTGCTCTGTAGCTTGAACTATATAACACTCACCATAGCATGGATGCTATCATGCCAATAGATTTCAACCTGTCCACAGCCGATACTGCATGACCTAAGTTTTTTAATAAACCATACTGTGAGATTACTTTAGTAGGAGTGTGTTGGTGGTAAAACTTAGTGGCCCGTATTATAACACAATAGAGTTTATTGGAAAGTGAAAGAAGGAACAAGGAAATGAAATCTGCTGTCCTCCAGCAAGCACATAATGTGCTGAGACTGCTACCGAAAGACTACGAATGCCATAGAATACACAAGCTGTTCTAGAAGACCTGGCTTTAGGCTCTCTCGCTGTGGTGTCGCAATGTTTTCTACTGTTGAAATGGTTAGCAGGACGTGGAAATGTCTTATTCTCACAAAACGGGTAACTAAGATAGATGGTGACAGCTTTATGACATTCTTGTTCTGGAGGGTTTTTTTTTTTTCTGCTTTTATGGGTGCACAGACATGTTAAAAGGACTAACATTTTAGTAAGCAGTGGCACTTCTAACGGTTAAAGAGGGGGGGGCAGTCGTTAGTTTTTTCCCCCAATGTTCGCTCAATGCGACTCATCTGTCAATGGTTATGCTGTGCTCAATTGTCATGAGTGACACAGGCCACCAAAAGTCTTTAGGCGCTTGTTCGCAGCAGCATTCTAACTGTGCACCAAAATGGTGGCAGTTTCTAAATGAGTGGAGCAGTGAAGCAGTGGTGACTGCACATCGTCAACAAATTTGCACATGTATACCTTATGACAAAGGGTTTCACAGGCCAATGTTGTGATGCTTTACGGTGCTTGAGCCATACACATAATGTTCATGCCTTCATTTTGGAAGAGCGTCTCTCATAATCATATCGTGGTTTTGGGACGTTAAACGCCACAAATCAATCAATCATCGTTTCGGAAGAGAAGTCCTAAAGGGCTTGACATTCCTCTCTCTTGCTTTTTTTTTTTTTCCCTCATAATCATATTGTGGTCTTCGAATGTTAAACTCCAGATATCAACATCAAAAGTGATGCTGCTCCAAAATGGTGTTCTAGCTGCTTTCAACTGCATTGAAATGGCCTTAGTCAAAATCATATTATTGTACTGGTTAGTTTGCTAATATGTAGTCAACACTAGCATGGACTAATATAAAAGTTCATTGATGAAATGATGCCTATTTGTTTTTGTTTCTTTCACATTAATGTGGCTAGTGTAGATCGCCAGATTTCGTAAATTTTGTGTGATAATGATCTTATTGCATGCTTTAGAAACAGTATTGTTCTGCTTTACAAGTAACTGAGCAGGCATTTTTCACCCTCAGGACCATGCTCGCTTTGTCCAGTCTGTTCGGTTCTCGCCTAATGGGGAACTGTTTGCAAGTGGAGGCTTTGATGGAAAGGTAAGCCTAGTTTATCTGTGTCGAAGTGTAGTGCCCTCATAATTCTTTCAAACATCATTTTTTGTACTGCTGTGGGCTGACATGCTTGTTTATTTTTTCAGATGTTCCTGTACAATGCCAGCACATATGAAAAAGTCGGTGAATTTGGTTCTCCAGCACATAGTGGTGGTATTTATGCTGTAAGCATTAGTGCTTCATCTATGAAGTAATGGGTATTCAAGGCACAGTACATTTGTTTGCTCTAACAGTTTAAATATTTTCAGGTCTCTTGGAGTCCCGACAACACCAAGATTCTTACTGCATCTGGAGACAAGACCTGCAAGATCTGGGATGCGAGCACGTTATCAGTTGTAACGTATGTGTTTCTTTGTTGTTTGCTATAGTGGATCACAGTTTTTGAGTAGTGCAAAAAAAAAAAAGATAATGTAAAACAGAAAAAAAAGTAAGTATCTGTCTTTTTCATACTTTTGTTGCACCTTTCTGCTTTTGGTGAAACAGCGAATTGCTTTACAAAACTGCCCAACTTACCACTTCTGTCAATTACATCGTAAGGACATGTTGGTTTTATTCTAATTAAACATTCTTTATTTTAGCTTTTGTGTTAATTTTACAAATAAACTTTTAGTGCCAAATGTTGTTTTTGTTGTCTCAACAGTGTGCCACAGTATTTTTCAATTCTTTATTTCATGGGATTACACAGATTGCCTATTTCTGCTGCGGTGGTCTAGAGGCTAAGGTACTCGGCTACTGAGCCGCAGGTCGCGGGATCGAATCCTGGCTTCGGCGGCTGCATTTTTGATGCTGTAGACCCGTGTGCTTAGATTTAGGTGCACGTTAAGAACCCCAGGTGGTTGAAACTTCAGGAGCCCTCCACTACGGCGTCTCTCATAATCATGTGGTAGTTTTGGGACGTTAAACCCCACATATCAATTGCAGATTGCCCAAGGGTTTTTCACCTAGGTTTGTATCGAGGTTAGATGGGTGAAAGATGTGAACGAGTTAGTCCAGTTAGCAGTGTATGATATGCATCCACTCACAAGGTTTTAATGTGATAGCATTGCATCTATCAAAGTTTTACTTCCTGCAATATAAGAAAGTGCAGTGGAACCTCGGTGATACGAACTTGACTTGTACAAATTTTGGGGTGACACGAATTTTTTTGTAGTCCCGGCCATTGCATATTGGCCTGCAATGTACTGTAAGGTTGTTCCGAACCGTTCATTATTCTGCGACGTTGGATACAAATGTGCGCTGCCATGCAGGTTCGTACCGGTACGCCCGCACTGCCGCGGTATACACGGCAAACTGTGCATGCAAATCTTGTCATTCCTGTGCACGAGGCAGTGATGCTTATTGTGTTTACACATATCTGCCACATCAATAAAAGCCATGTTCTCGCAATGAGATATACCATGAAAGACAAGGACCGAAAAAAGGTCTTGGCGAAGGAGGTCTTGGCCTCTCAACGGGAAGGTGTGCAATGGGGGGGGATGCACACATAGGCCAACTATCAGATTTGCATGGAAGACTTTCGAATGATGAGCGAATCTCCCGAGTAAACCTCCCGCGATAAGAAGTAACCGAGAAAAGTGGTTCTAAAATTTTGATGGCTGTCTTCCATTATGTGCAAAGTGCTCATTAGGTCACTTTCACTGCATAACTCTGGTGTCGTGAAAAAGCATCCTAAGACTACAAAGGGGCTACTAACAGTCAAGGGTCGTAACGCATCAGATTCCGTGCACCCACTGTCTATTTAAAACTGAAAATATGATCACAGATGTCTAGAAACTTGTTTTGCAATCATTCAAGCTATTCAAGATGTTGCTGCAGCACTGAGAAACAATAAATTAAAAGGAATGCAAACTTTCATTTGTCATATACTGAAGTTTCCATGTTTTCTGGTGATATGAATTTTGGATGATATGAATACTTTTTATACGAGATGCGTGTGACCGAGGTTTTATTGTACCGTATATACTGCAGGGAGTGCCTGGTGTGGTAGACCAAGAGTGACATAACTGTAGAAAAGTAGCTGTGGAGTTTCGTTATGCAGTGAACCACATTAGAAGTAGACGGGAGAAAGCAAGCTAGCAACTGAGTTGTTAGTCTACGTTCATCTTGTCTGCTTCTACTATGGTGTCTGTCAGCAGGGCCATCTACTGACAGGTGATCAGAATTCATAAAAACTCTTTACTGGCCCCTAGAGATCTTTCCATTCTTATTAATGTTTTTTACTCATTATTTTGCTTATGAATTATATATCAACTTGGAGTTTAAAGTGTAGGATCTTTGAGTCTATGGTGACTTTATTATATGTTCATGTGCAATAGTGCTAACATATACAAAATTTGCTTTTGTCAGCCACTTTGCTGGTGTGTTTCGTATGACAAGCGACATAGTAGACTGGTAAACAGCAGCAGTACATCATCAAGTCTTAAGTTTTCTGTGGGGCAGAAGGTATGAAAATGTCGTTAGTCATCTGATGATAAGAATTTGCCATGCTGTCTCATGCAATTCATCTGGTATAGCATGAGGGTCTACTGGCCTTTCCTGTTTGTAACCACCTGTTTAATTGTGCAATGAAATTAGTGCTATGTACAGGTGAATCTTTACAATGAATTGGCGTCTGACACAAAAAGACCTTCATGGTGTACAGTATTCATTCATAAACATGTGGAGTCAAAGCCGCCATGTGTTCAACATTGTGCATGCACGCCATGCATGTAAAGCTTAGTGGCACTAGTGCCCATAGTTTAAATTCATATTACATGTTCCTATAGGTTTTTTTCATATTACATGTTCCTATAGGTTGAACGAGCTGCCACAGGGCAAGTCAAATAATTGTGCAGATCAGAAAAATTAGGTTCCTGAAAAAAGTCTGCAACTGCATTTGATGTTTTCTTTACCAGATCACTTTTAGAGCCACTAGGTAATAAATAGAACACATTTGCTTTTTTCTAGCTGATACTGAGACGTAGATCCCACATTTCCTGTTTTTAATATAGCATTATAAGTCGTTAGAAAGAAGCACAGGCAACCAAGTTTAGATTTAGGTTATCATATCTGGCAACTTAATATTATGTTTATTATATTGAGGGTCAGTTATAGCATGAATTTTAATGTTGTTCTACTGCTCTAAGATAGTATATTGAATGAAAGGTGGTTTTTGTAAAAACAGTGTTTCGATATTCACTGCCGATTGTTTGTTTGTTATTAGTGTGTGAAATTCCAAATAAGAAATTGAAAGTTTCTATTTGTATATAAAAAAGTATATTGTAAGTACTTTGTGGATATTTCAAAATATCTACTGCATGAAAGTGACTGCTGCATAGGTGCAAACGTCTGTTAAATTTCATTCCCGTGGGCATTGTGTATTTTCATAAATCACGAGAATTTACTTTAACTGTGTGTAACTCATGGAATTGCACTTAATCAGTTATACATAGATGATTTGTACTTTCTGAAAAATCCTTTGAATATCAAGAAGCTGGTTATTTGTTCTTACTACTGTGTGCTTTAAATGCTCAAGCTGTAAATATTAGCTTAGGTGCATCATTTTATATTGATTTCATAGACAGCTTTCAGTAGTATCAAATAAGCAATTTCTGCTATTTGATTCCATCTAAAAATCGCCACTCACGCACCCCTCATGAAGGTACTTCATGGAGAATATTTTTGTAATTTGGCTCCTTATATTTTCTGCGTAGCAAGCTATTGACTGTATTTTTGCAATAATGTCATTTTTTATTGTCTCCTACGCTTGTTGCTTACAGGCTTGAAGGATGAGTAGAATAAAAGCTTAGTTTGCTGCAAACTGTGGTCCCATGTTTCTTAATCGTTATTTTTCTAATGTAGGGAGTTTGTCATGGGTGCGGACGTCATGGACCAGCAAGTGAGCTGCCTTTGGCAAGGCGACTACCTGCTTTCAGTGTCTTTATCAGGATTCATCAATTACCTCGATGTCAACAACCCTGAGAAGCCACGAAGAGTGGTCAAGGTGAGGGAAAGAATAAATTGCTCTGTTGAAGTACAATTAAAGTTACTATCCTCTGAAACATGCTACCTGTGGCAGGTTACCCTGGTTGTTATTACCGTTGAGCCTACACAAAAACTATGTGTCTGTTTTAGACAATATGCCGTGGGCACCAGCTGCCACTTCTGTTTCATAGACGCGTGAGAAGGGATTAAAAAAGTCTCTGAACACTGAGTGTCACTGAAGCCAACATTTTGACAAGCAGTCTTGTCTTCTTCAAGGCATATCGAAAAGTTGGCCACACTCTTTGTTGAAACAGTGGGACGAGTAACACACGTTTTGGAGGATTTCTCTTTCCTTGAAGCCTCCATCTCCTGAACTTCTGCTTGACATCAGACTTTCGTAGTGTCTGCAAAGCTGAAAACGGCCTTACTGTTTAAATTTCTCACAAGAGCATAGTGTGGACAGTTGTTTCAACCGCTTCTGGGGTAACTACTGTACACAAGAGTTGTTTTCATAAGAGTGAACAGTTGTTTTTTCTTCCTTTTATTACCATATTACTCGAAAAGCTACCTTCAGCATTTTCTTGCTTAAGATGTCTGCATGGTTAAGGTATGTAATCATGAATGTAAAGAGGCGGGGTGGGTGATACTCTGGACTATGTTGTTCAGAGTACTGAAGGAATGCAGTGAAATATATGCAATCCGCTCACTCCTTAGCACTAAGACGATTAAAATTGATATGCGTGTATTGTTTACAGGGAAGTTGACCTATTCAAGTTACTTTATTTTGCAGGGCCATCACAAGTCCATCACGGCACTTGCTGTGAGTCCAAACAGAGAAACAATATACACTGGGAGTCACGATGGTTGCATCAGTATCCTTGTGCATAGTATATGCTTAGTGGACAGCTTGTCTTTTGGGAATCTTGTGGGAGTCACCAACAGGCCTAGTTGTATTCCTTGATAATGGCACATGCTTCTGGGATGCTGCATCGGGAGACCAGGATAGAGTGTCTGGGAACTGCCATAGCAACCAAGTACAGGACATGTGCACTGGCACGGACTCCATCTACACTTGTGGCCTAGATGACACTGTGCGGTCCATAAACTTGATGTCAAATCAGTACTCGTAAGTAATGTTGATTATTCCGTGCATCTTTATTTTACCAGCCAACAGGCTTCATAAAATGACTAAACCTGCTTAGTGATACAGCTGCAGAGCAAAATTTAGTACTTTGTGATTTCAAGAGCTTTTTTTATTTTGCATTGTTAAGCCTGCAAGTCGTTGTTCTCTAGTGTTGCAGTGTAGTGTAGTCACTTTTCAACACCATTATTGCGCCAACATTCATGGGTTTTTTTGTTTTTTGCCAGAAACCTGTGTGTCAAAATGGACTCCCAGCCACGTGGCATGGGTACAGCGGATGGAAACTTGGTCATTGTGGCAGACATTTGCGAGGTGAGTGTTATTTACCTCTCTTGATGAGCTGAGAACTTGGTTAGAGGACCTTTCATAGCTAAGCAAATGTCATACTTACATACCTGTCAAATCTCGCAGATTATCCGGGATACTCCCGAATTTCTACCATTTCTTAGGCTTGTACAGTTGTCATGAAAATCGCCTGGAAATCAAAATTTCTGTGTGTGATCTGGCTGAACCATTGCAGTGGCTTGAAACCGGCAGATAGGAATTCTCAAAATTCTTCAGCCAAATTTCACTGTGACCATTGGGTAAAAATCCGTATGCTCGAACACTTTTCCTCATCGTGGCAGGGGATGTGAACAATAGTATCGAAAACGTTGAGCGAAACCCGACAGCAGCATACTCATTGCTTTGGAAGCACTACGCGCGTGGTCAGTGCATGCACTGTCTTCTATGTGTGTGGTTGTCATTTGCCACAACCGTTGTGAACGAAACCGCGGTCGCTCTTGACACGATCATGTATGGCGACGTCATAAATGACAGAACTCTGAAAGTGTGCTCGTGTCCAACACTCGACCAGTCAAAGGGACGCCGCTTTTGCAAACAGTGCGGACAAAACTGCGGCAGATGCGATCATAGATAGCAAGAACGACTTAGTTTTAAGGTAACGTGCGCAGCCAGCGCACGCGGATTGAAAACGGAACTACCGTTTGCCACAGCCACCGCGCACAAAACTGCTGTGGCAGTGATGCGATAGCGATTTACGAGGTCCAAGGGCACGAGAATAACACAGTGGTAGATTAAAGGCAACTTAAAGAAGGCTAGAAGTGTTCTGGCGTTCCTGTCTGAAGAATCTAGTAACGTAGCAAAGCTTTGACTTGTGCTTTCGTGGCAGCAAGCTGCCGTCCCATGAAGACATACGCTAGTTCTTCTGACAGAAATGATTTTGCTAGTTGTTTTATAACGCGGGATTTCAGCAGTATTTGCGCTTCCCCTTTTAAAATTCACCATTTAGTTGGAAAACCTGATCCTCGTGTGTTTGGCCACTCCAAGCCTTTATAAGACTGCAATGCCGATGTTTACGCTTGCGGGGTTGTTTGTTTTGACTCCACCCCCCCCCCCCCCGTTTATCACGAAATGTTTTTTTCTTTATTTTGGGGCAAAAAAAGGGGACAAATAAGTCGGCGCACCCTCTCTCTCTCCCCCCCCTCTCTATTGCGGGAATCTCCTGGATTCAAAATCCTTGAACTTGGCAGGTATCTGCTTATCCGCATTTTTCTTTAGCACCAAGCAATGCGTAAGTATTAGATGACTTCCAACAAATTTTATTGAAAATTGATAAGTTCACAAGTAACACTGCTTTTATTTGTAAAACTACAGGTTTTCCCGCTCACTTTCATTAAAATGCCAGCTTAAATAATCCGCACACCATTGAAATAATCTGAGCGTCAAGCTATTTAATTCATGTGCCAAACATTTAATCGAAGCACCAACATATTTAATCCAAGCACCAACTCAATTAGGCTGTGTGCCAGGGAATTTAATCCAAGTGCCATCATGTTTAATTGCCAAGGGCTTTAATTCAGGTGACAGTGAGTTTGATTCATGCACAAAAAACAGAATACGGAGGGTAAAAAACGGCAGTAGAGTTGAAAGGCAGTTCCCAAAATTTTGCCGCGAGGCGTATTGCAGATAGTGTTGCGCATGCCGATACCGCCGGCACACGGCCTTATCGTGGTCCAGGATGCACCGCGATTCATCTGCGAAGATCATGGCCCGCACGTCGACCATTCGTTGATAACGAGATAGCGCCAGACGCTACGGTGACTGTATCTCGGATGGTGAACGCGCCTTGCGATCCAGTGGGACATTCTGTTCCCCGACGGCCGTCGAACACGCTGTTCGCCACCCGCTAAGCCGATGTGTCTGTTTTTCTTTAGTGGGCGCAAGTCTGCCAAATAAGCGGATCTCCTTCTATTTCTACTAGCCTCCCGGTCTCCTGTCTTCGGGCTACCCTCACTCTTACGTGACATCTGGTGGAGGTGCGGGGTACTCATGGTGGCTGTGGAAGCGTCCTTTCGTGGTCGCGTGGGGTCCGGTAGCGGTCCCAGCTCAGGTGGCAGGTTTCGGAGGCGGCGACTGCTTCGAGTATCTGTGTCTTCAGCGTCCTCGTTCTCTGCAGTGGCTGTTTTAAGGTCGTTTTTGTGCATACCCCGCCCGTTTTTGTGCAAATGAGGCGTGTTGAAAGCAGTTTGCGATCGTGGTCGCCGTCACACTCATCCACGCCGCCTGAAGCATTTCGAGCGCAGCGTACAAGTCAACATCGGTGTCTCGCTTCATCCTCATGTTGAGCAGAAGCTTGTCTATCACACGCTTGCGGTAACCTGCCTTCAGCGACATAATCACGCCTTGGTCAAGCGGCTGTATTTTTGCTGTGCAGTTGGCAGGAAGGAACAGCAGCTCGATGTTTTGAAGCACGGCAGCGGTATGGTGGGCGGTGCAGTTATCTAAAACAAGGCACACCTTGCGGTTCGCCTTTGCCAGCTTCTCGTCCCATTCGCAAAGCCATTTTGAAAAAATCTCCCTGGTCATCCAGGCTTTGCGATTGGCTCTGTACTTGACTGGGAGCTGCCTCTTCCCCTTAAGGCAGCGAGGGGATGCACTTTTGCCAATTACAAAAATTGGCAGCTTCTCAGAGCCGGTCATGTTTGCACAAAGTAGCTCAGTGATCCGCAGCTTACTTTGTTTCCCGCCATGGCACGGCTCGCCTTTGAGGGCTAACGTCTTGTGCGACAACATATTGAGAAAGAGCGGTTTCGTCCGCGTTCAAAATATCCTCCGCGCTGTATTTTTCTAGCAGCCGCACGATGTTTTCTTTCGCCTACTAGGTAGCCTCTGCTTCGTCGTCAGATTGCGATTCGCCGCAGACCGCTCTCCCGACAATGTCGTGGCGCTTCTTGAAGCGTTGGAGCCAACCCGAACTTGCTACGAAGTTGTCATAGCCCATGATGCAGGCAATGTCTTTCGCTTTTCTTTGCAGCAAGGCGCCACTCACCGGCAGATTCATGGCCCGCGTGTCCAAGAACCACTTAAAAACGGCCCTTTTGACTGCTTCAAAGGCAGGTGCCCTCATCCTCTTCGCGCTTCCTTTCACGCCACGTGCAACAGCGTCGATGATGCACTCCTGCTTGCTCAAGATGGTTGACAGTGTGCTCTTCGATAGGTCAAAGTCTCTTGCCACGTTGCCTTTCTTGGTCCCCGATTTGACGGCTCTTATCATAGCCGCCTTATGATCTAGCGTTATGCGCTTTCGCTTCCCGCCTGGCGCATTCATGTTGCTGGAATCACGAGCGCAGCACGATAAAAGATAAGGCGGAAGCGGTCGAAAAAGAGAAGAAACAGGCACACAAAAGCAACGCGGCTCACGTCGGCGAGCGACAACACTTGCAGAGAAAGTGACTGTGAAGAGGAAGAGGCAGAAGGGGCGCTCTTTTGCGCTGCCCTCTAGAAACCGGTTACTCAAGGGGAAGGGAGTATGTAAGATTAGGAAGCGCGCCTCAGCGCCATGAGAAAGGGGAGAGGGAGAATAAAAAGAAGACACAAAAGAAAAGGGCGAGACTTTCGCGAAGCTGCGGAGTGCTCCGCTGTCGGTGGTAGCCAAGCGGCGCAGGTGCAGTGACCTCTCCTCCGGAAACAGTGCGTGCCGTCTGCTTTGCGCGCGTTGCTGGTGGGCGCGTGACGGGAGTTTTGAACTGCTTTGAACTGCTAAATACAGTTCTCGTGTTGTGCGCCGTCTAAAATTCGCGTTGTGCACTGTCGTGACATCCGCTCAAAATTTTACTTCCTAACAAAATTTGTTCGTTATATCCCATAACAGGCAAATTTTGCCTCGTTAAAAATGAGGTTTTGAATTCATTGGTTTGTATGGGGACTTTCAAGGGGAATTATGATTTGCTTGTTATATCCATTATTTCGTTATAGCCCGTCTCACTATAACGAGGTTTAACTGTACATAGCAAAGTACAAACGTGGCTCAAGCAAACAACGGCCGTATTTTCTTTTTCACAAGTACCGTATAAACTGGACTATAGGTCAAGTGGGAATATAAGTCGACCCTCCAAGTTCATGTTACCGGAAAAAAAAAAAAGGAAAACAACCCAAAATTGCTGAACAACAATTATTTTAGAATTGAACGCACCGCACCCCGATCGTCGGAGCTCCCCTCAACCACCATCGAAACTGTTTCTATTCGTCAGACGAAGCACCACTGTCTTCTGAAGACGAGAGTTTGTCGCTGGCCGCCTCCCACAGTGCGTTGTCTTCCATGCCATACAGCGAGTTGCTGATGGAACATTTCTGAAAAGCATTTTTCACCATGGAATCTGGCAAGGAACGCCAGGCTGAAAGCATCCAGCCACAAACAGTCGCAAGCGGAGGCCTCTGTAGGCGGCCCGTTGGTGTCTTTGGGTTGTCGCCGGACATCCACTTTTGGTACTCCAGTCGCACTCGGTCCTTGAACGGCTTGTTTAGCACAACGTCGATCGGTTGGAGGGTGGACGTCATGCCACCTGGTATCACGGCGAGGTCCATTTTTTCATCGCCCAGTGCGCGCTTCACAGCGTGACCACAAAACGCATCTAACACCAGCATGCTGCAAAGATGCAGCAGTGCACCTGGCTGACTGTTCCAGACTACTCGTATCCGTTCGAGCATCATGGCCTCATCCATGTATGCCTTTTTGTTGACGCGAACGACAACACCGGGCGAGAACACTTCCTTCGGCATTGTCTTACGTTTCAAAATGATGAAGGGCGGAAGCTTTCTACCATCTGCCATGCATGCCAGCATGACGGTGAAGCGCGAGTGCTCGTTGCCAGTGGAAAACATATCCTTGGCACCACGCTGCATGATCATGGTCGATGAAGGCATGTCAAATCACATGGGGATCTCATCGGCATTGTCAATCTGCCCCATCATGTAATTGTTCTGCTGCCGAAGCTGGTTCACAAAGCCCTGACAGTTTATAAGCTTGTCCT